TTGTGAAGGAAGATTTATTCTCCATCCAGGAAAGATGGCATCTAAAAGGTCAAGATTTAATTAGTGAATAAAATTTCTGCATTCAGGTGGAGACATTGGCAGTATAGAGTTGAAGTAGACTTTACAAGGAACCAGAAACCCAATCCTAAACAGGAAACGAGGGATAAACCTCTGCTCCTGTTCAAAAGACTGGAGAGGAATATGAACCAGACAATAGGCAAGCCTAGTGGAAATGGAAAAAAAAGATTACAGAAAAAAATTTTCAGCTTTTTCTGGCCTGTTAAGGTTAGTGCTATCATTGGCCAGTTTAAGATGATTGAGTTGGGTTTCAATCTAGCAAAAATCTTGGTCATGTCTAGTAGATTTTCTAATTTACTCATCATAAAAAAAAAAAAAAACAAAAAAAAAAACAAACCATCCAAAACATTGTCCGATACGTCTTCATTTGATATTTTGGAATTATTGAACATTAAACAAATATTCAATAATTATTCGTACATAAGAAAAATGATTATCTACATCAAAAAAGTCCACTACATAGAGATGGGCAATTCTCTTATCACTTAATTTCTGATAGCAAAGTTAAGAGTTACACCTGAGATTAATAGCTATAGATACATAATACATCTTGTATATTTGGATTATATTTTGCTAAATGCAGTTTAGTCTAGCCTGAAGCCACACTAGTGAGGCTCTTGTTAGAATCCCTCATCATACTAATGAGTTGGTGAGAAACCAGCTTAATGTATTACAGTTGATGACTTTACAGCTTCCCTATAAGTCTGTATATGGATATTGACTAAATGTGATGAAAGAAAGAAGAAAAAAAAAATAAAAATAAAATGGAACTTCAACTGTTCTCCGACATTGGTTTGTTGGAATTATGCAGTTATTAAGAGGACCCAAGACTGATGGATATTTCATGACATCAGTCAAAATTCAAATGGGAGAATTGATATACTGACTTAAGGCAAACAAAGTATTATATATTTATGTTTAAACAAAAAGGACTTTTTTTTTTTGCTTGTGTTCGTTTTATTTCAATAATTTCTTCTGTCACTTGTAGAAACCAGTCAGATATATATATATATATATATATATATATACACACACACAGAAGTGTCAATCCATGTATAAATAGTCCTGCCATTCAACAAAAAAAAAAAAAATATAGAACACACACATCACCACACAAAAACATCACTGACAGTCTGCACATTGGGGATGCTTAACCTCAATTAAAAAAAAAAAAAAAAAACTTATTTAGGTCTCAGTCCTACAGTATTGGCTAATACCAGCCGAATATCACATTTTTAATTTTTTTTCTTTCTTATTTATAGAATATCTTTGCAGAAACTTCTGTAATTCATTAGGTATTGAAGGCTTCTTTGGGGGGGGGGGAAGTACCTAAAATGCCAAAGCAAACACCACCACACATAGAAAATTCCAGTCTCACTTGTTTAATGTAGCTAAAGTTTTCCAAAATGATCCTACTGAATTTCCAAAATCTGAGATGATATCAATATGTGTGCAAGAATATTTTAGCAACTATTCTTCTAAAAGCCTTGCATCCCTTTCAGAGAACTGAATTGATCTTGGTAGCAAATGAAAGATGAATAAATGGTTTTCATATTACACCCCTCCGGAAGGACAAATTAGCAAGACACCATCTATAACATCTGCTGTGACAGTTCGAACCGCCACCCCAAACACTGGGTTAAGTTTAAAATAGAAAACACATCAATGATTGGTGGGTCTGGTTGTAAGCTGTCATTTGACAGTAATGTCCAGTTGGGGCAGTTCAGTCAGAAACAAACATGCAAGTGTCTGGAATAAAGCTGGGAGCAACTTGTGCATATGTTGGAAGGTATTTGGCACAGATCAACAAAGTGAGGAAAATGTAGAATGTTTGCATGTTTTTTTTTTTTTGGGGGGGTGCAACTTGGTCCGACAATGACAGGATTAATATGATCTGGAACAAGGGCATGAAAACTTAACATTTTGGCTAACAGTAATTTTTGGGGAAGGGGAGTAACTAATTAAAAAAGAAACTGTATAATGGTGTAATTTTTTTTTTTTTTTTTTGATTACACACACACAAAAAAAAAAAAAAAAAAAAAAAAAGGGGGGGTTCAAAATTCATACTAAGTAGTAAAATGTTCAGATTAAGATTAATTTATATAGTCATTTATTTGAATCAATCTTTCAGATTTCAATCATTTGGAACAGTAATGTACTTGGAACTTCTTCCCTGTATTCAACCTTTTCACTATCATTATCCCAGAACAATATCACAAAGCAAATTAAGCTTAAGTCCTGGCACCTCAATTAGGAAATTAAAGAGATCAACCATTGATGCATGTAGTAGAATCAAATGGCGAACAATTATAGAATTGTGTAAATATTAATGAGTAAATTTTGATAATTCCTAGAATAGCTGTACAAGCCGAGGCCAATGTAGTAAGAGAAATCAATAAGGATTTCTGTCAAAAATGTGAATATAAATGTTCTTTATTCACTGGTAGAGTTTATTTTTGTTGTGCCTTCACTGCCTATAAAAGGCAAAAAAAAAAAAAAAAAAAAAAAAAAAGATCCTATTTTAAAAGGGCTGGAAAGAACAATGGACTTGTTACAACACTACGAAGGTGTAACAGCACCTAAACCAGGGGTCCCTAACCTTTTTGGTGTAATCACTCAACTGTATTGTATTCAAAAGTATACCAAAATTGTTTGGTTCATAAACTAACTTTATTATGTTAATAAAAAATAATCTACCAAAGGGAGGTAACCGATAATGCAACAGTTGCTACTGTTACAACCATATTAAAGTGCAAACAAAGGCAAACATGACCATTGAAAACTACATATAATTCAGTTTTATGGGTTAGGATTGCAAGTGTTGACCTAAAATGAAAATTTGTTCATAAAATTAAAGATATACTACTAGCAACAAATAAAAATTCAGGAAATAACTTTTGTCTAATACACGTTAATGACCCCCACTTCTCAAAACTATAGAAGTTTTGAAAATATTCCTTATTTGCAGGGATATCTTAGGAATGCAACCCACTCATTCCCTTTAGCCTCCTTTTTTGTTTTTATATACAGATTCTTTGCATATCTCTTTAGAACCTCTCCCCCCTCAATTCTTATTCGTTCCATTAAATTGACCATTCTACATTTAGTTATAGACTGTTGGAATAAAAATGCATCAATTGCTTACTACAGATTACTATCTTTACATTTTGAGTATAAAAATAAATTTAGTATTTAACTAGGCCATCTATAAACCCATTTGTTCCTTTTAAAAAAGTTCACGATACAAAATGATTAGGTAACAATATCAATTACACATTTTAATTTGTATCTCGAGATTGTAAAACGTTTATTATTCCGAGCTTTAACACATTGTGTGAAAATTTAACGTAATCTTAAAAAGAGGTGTCGTCTATCAAAACAGGTGTTTTTTTTTTATACTCGTTTCTTCCTCACATTTCATACCTAATGGCAGCAAATCAGCATGCATCTATTTAGTCATGTGACACAGCCTTTTCACCTTTCAAGTAGTTTATAAAAAAAAGTTCTTATGAATTGTATAAATATATTGTGTTGTGCATATTTAAATTTAATGTTATAAATGTAGTTATTATTTTTCACCCCCATAATAGTTGGAACGCAATACACAAGTGTTTGTTTATGTACATGGATTGATACAAGAATGTATCAAAAAATATTGAATTTCCTATTAAAAATGCCATAACAGAAAGATGTCCTTAGTTCAAGAACACCTTGTCCAGTGATGTAATTTAGCATTGCACTTGGCAGGGGGTTCAAAGTACAATATGCAGCTAACTTGATTTGGGGGGGGTGTATTAAGTACAGTTTAAGCTGTATCTCGAGGACACGTGTATATACTATAGTTTCAGTATTATATAGATGGTCTGAAAGTCCTAACTGCATTGGTTTCTTATAACAATGGTAAAGTATACATGGTATAAAAGGTGGTTTCTCAGATTAAAAAGGGAAATACAAGCCTGATGGCTGTTAATAGGATTTTTTTTTTTTTTTTTTTAAAGGCTTTCAATCTAAGCCAGATTATGTTTATAATAAACAGAGCATTTACTTAAATATTTGTATCTATAAAAAGAATGTATAAATATAAAAATAATTGTCAGACTTGTCCATTTTATAAATGTGTGACGTCATTTGTTTACATTTGGATGCGCTTTGGAGAGATTCATAGGAGATTGAAGTTTCAAGACAGTAAATTCGACCTTGCGAACCGAATGCTCCGCTGTGGCCAAACCGGTTAAAGGAACGTCAAGCTAAATGACTGTTCCATATAGGATACAGGTTTGAATCCTGTTGGAGGATGAATATTTTCTGTGAAAATTTCTGACATTCAGGCTGGTAAATGTTGTTTAAGACTTTATTATAAACAGACCATTTACTTAAATATTTGTATGTATAAAAAATGTATAAACATAAAAGAGTGTGTGTGTGTGTGTGTGTGTGTACACACACACACACACACAAAAGGGTGTATTTGCTGACAGAAAATAAAAAATATCATGGCATTTAAATTTTGAAGTAAAGAAAACACTTTTGCACTAATGCTCTCAGGAAAGACAAGAATTCCTTTATTAGAACAATCCCAAACTAGATTAATAATGAAAGTAGTTTTTTTTTTTTTTCATAATATTTAATTTCTTAAAATTCAGAAACAAGAAATTTAGCATAATTGAAGCAGACATCTACAGTAATTATGCAAGGAAATTTAATTTTTTTTTTTTTTTTTTGAGGGGGTGTCCTCCCTGTGTAGCTACTTGCAACCTGCCAACCAGCCAGCCACATTAAAAGGGAGTTAACAAAAATACAAAGTTGTTTTCTAACAAATACTTTTGTTATCTTCATTTGATTTCTCTTGCAGGCCACTACTCCTCTACAATTCCTTGCTTCCTCTGAATTGATTGGCTGTGTATACTTTAGAAATGAATTCCTCACTGAGACAACATTTGGTGCACAGCTTTTACAATGCAATTGGCACTGATACCATATTTCTCCATCAGTTCAGCACATTTTCCACTTCGAGGTACTTCATTGACTGCTAGATGTTTTATAGTGATATTGCTATATTTGGACAGGCAGCTGCTCACCGCTTCACCAAGGCCACCTGGAAATGTAGAAATACAATATTCAACAAGTGATTTTGGTTCCTTAAGGAAGAAGGAAAAAAGCTTAAGGAAATTTATGAAAGGAATTATACAAGGGTAAGTCAAAAATTATCTATACTTTCACCATAACATATCTAGGTTTGTCATGCTGCTTCTGCATACTTGTAGTTGGTACTTGGTCACATGATCAAAGTGAGTAACCAAACCAGTTTTCTTGCTGCTGTTACAGTGTAAATACGACTGTTCTGCTAGCAATGTCACAAACTTAAAGATATGTTATGACAAAAGTGCAGAAAAAGTTAATGCACTGAAGATTTAAATGTTCAAATTCAGGACATTTTTTTTCCCTGACTTATTTTAACTACCTTCACTCCTTGGCAATGTTTGTTTTCAAAATTTTAAAACCTAAACAGGAAGTTTAGGTATATCTTTGTTTTTGAGAATTTACAAAAATATTAAAAACATTATATTGACTTTTTTGTGGGCACAAAAGTTAAATATTTCCAGAAGAACTTTAGCAGTCATAACAAGGTTGTACGAGACAATAGTGTCAAAATGTAAGAGCTCTGTTGCAAGCAATATAAAAAAATCTTTCCTTAATAGTGATCACAATTCCAAACATGCAAATAGAATCAACTTGCACATAATCGCTGAAACTTGATAAAGCTGCAGCAAAAGATTTTTTTCTGTCTGAATTTCCGAGGAGTTATTTACATTTAGACATTGTTCCCTCTGGCCTTCATGTGCTTGTTACTCCAAGTAACTTTCAACAAACTTCAAACTACAGATTTATCTTTGTCTGGTAGCTATTATTCTGGTCATTATTCAATTTTGCTCAGTAATAGGTTGCCCTGTCCCCATCCCCAATATGTTTGTACTGCCTGGCCCTGGGATTAAAGTCTTAATTACTATATCCCCAAATTCATGAATCAACAGTTTCATCCACAAGGCAAGATATCTATAGACAGACAGCTGGAGAACAAGTTATCCCCATGAATTAAATAAAGGGTTTGGTTCAAAATTTCCTGAATTGACAGATACCTAAAAAGGCGAGAAGGAACTATAGCCAAATGCTGATAAAGCAAAGGACATTAGTATGAATGTAGATTAAAAGACATTCTTCACTTCTCTTTTCAGTTCATATAAATCTGATTTTGATTTCTAGGAATGAGCTGTAACTTGTTAAGTTTAAGGCATCAGCCAACTGATTAAGTTTACAAAACAGTTTCCACCATTTTCTTTCCAATATGAAGACATGTTTAAAAAAAAAAAAAAAAAAAAAAATTCTTCATGTAGTAAATCATTTTCTTTCACCACTTATGAATCCAAGATTTTCAGCACAAGAGAGAGGCACATCACTGAAATGAAGTTACGAAAATGTAACCAAATTCTTTTTTGATACGACCAAGCTCTTAACTTTTGTATTCTAATTTGACAAATTCCATTTTGCAATTATTTAATTACAAAAATAATTTTAACCGAATATTTTCTTACCTTGTGGATAATGGTCTTCAACGGTAATAATTTTGCCATCAGTCTTGCAAGCCGCATCATAAATGGTCTTCCCATCAATGGGTTTGATGGTAAATGGATCAATAACACAAATATTCACACCTTCTTCAGCAAGTTTGTCAGCAGCCTTCAAGGCTTCCACAAGAGTCACACAGGCACCAATCACAGTCACTTTGTCACTGCTGCTCTGACGAATAATCTGTCAAAAACGGTTAGGGGGTATTTTAAAGATCTGCATTATAGCTAAAAGAATGAGATTACTGAAGTTGGGGAGACACAGATTCTAAAAAATTTAAAAACCACTTTGTACACTTCTCGGTAACATTAAGTAATTAGAAATAGCTACTGTATTTTATAGTGCAAAATACAAATTTTGAATGGAAATTAAAAAAGAAGAGGCTTGTATTATACACAAGTACACCTTTTCAGAAATGTTTATTTCATTCCAAAAACATATGAAACAAGATTACAAAAAGGTACATGTTGACATTTGTTCTTTGAGAATTGGCATAACTGAACAAATTCACCTAAATTGATTTTTAAAAAATAAAAATTTAAAAAAAAATTTTTTTTAAATTTGAGGAAATACACAAGATGTCAGGTTTTGATAACATTAAAATGTTACAAAAGCCTAACTATTGTACAAATTTTTTTTTTCTGCTTGAAAAACAGGGAGGATAAACCATGCTATGAAGTGATTTCATATTCCTCTATTTGCTGACACAAAGTATCTGGTTTGAAAACTTTAAATGATTTGATTGGTTTGGTTTACAGCATATCAACCTCAATGGGTTTTTTCATGTCAACATTTTTATTGCTGATTTTTTTTTTTTTTCAAAAATGTATTGCTAGTAAAATTTTTTTTTTTTTACAAAGTATTTCTGGTATTAAAACCTATTTTTACACTTTCATAGTGTTTTGATCAGTTTTTTTTTTGGGGGGGGGGTTAACTATTTACCTATAGCTGGGACCCTAACAGGTACTACCACCCTGGATCAGGGTGGACACACCAGCAATTAAGAGGTTGTTTCATGCTCCTCAGAACCTCTTGATCAGAGGCCTTGCTGTTGGACATGTTTATCATCTTACCCAGGATGTCAAATGATTTGAGAAAAATAAAATACAATATAGGTTATGTAAACAAGCCTAACAATTATATTGCTACATATAATTGTGTACCCTGGTGATTTTAATTTTTAAAATCAAAAAATATTGAAATTAGGAGAAGAAACCTGTAGTGGCTAAACATCTTTCTCATTTCTATTCTTTAATAGAAAAAAAAATATGTGAAATTGATATTTTAACGGATATGGTGAAACTTTTCAAAAAAAGTAATTTACATAGAGATGGCTGTATTATACTCAAGGATAAAATTTATTTCCCATTTTTAGCTTCAGAAACATAGGGTTGTATTATACACAAAATATAATCTAAAATTATAAATCCGGTATTAAAAACTAGATTTATTAAAAACACATTGCAATGTAAGGACAACTACTTGTAACCAATTTTAAAGTGCTTTGCAGCTTTAACTCATGAGCTCTCATATCTTTACAATAAGATTAGTGATAACCAATTGATGCTGTTGAAAAATTTCAGGATATGTTTATGATAAATGTACCATATTAATTTCAGTGTATTTTTATTAAAAATATTTGAACTTTTTGGGTGGATGAATTTTTCATGCAAGATTGCTTATTGTATAAAGAAGAGATACAGAGTGGAGGAAAGGCAAGATGAAGTGAAAAGTTCCCATGTGACACAGAATTTTTAAATTATATATATCTCAGATAATATAAACTCTTGTCTCCACCACAAGAGAAGATCTGCCAGATTTTAAAAAAGATTTAAAATCACATCCCAGTATGCAGGAATCAACATCAACAAATAAAATAAATAAATTTTTTTTTTCAATTCTTTCAAAACTTAATAGCTGTAATGTAGTTATTCACTTAAAATTTGTTTTTACAAATCTTTGTGGGTATTTTTTCAAAAAAATAATTAAAATATATATAAAAAATATATATATATATTTTAGATATATAGATAGAGATATATATATATATAGAGATTATATATATATAGAGATTATATATATAGAGATTATATATATATAGAGATTATATATAGAGATTATATATATAGAGATATATATATAGGGATAGATATATATAGAGATATATAGAGGGAGAGATAGGGAGAGATATATATAGAGAGAGGAGATAGAGATATGTAGAGAGAGATAGATATATATATATATATAGAGATAGATATATAGAGAGATATATATATATATATAGAGAGAGATAGATAGAGAGAGAGATAGATATATATATATAGAGAGATGTATATAGAGAGAGATAGATATATATAGAGAGAGATATATAGAGAGAGAGATATAGAGAGATAGATATATATAGAGATAGAGATATATAGAGAGAGAGAGAGATATATATAGAGAGAGAGAGATAGATATATATATATAGAGAGAGAGAGATAGAGATATATATATATATAGAGAGATATATAGAGAGAGATAGATATATAGAGATAGAGAGAGATAGATATATAGAGATAGAGAGAGATAGATATATAGAGATAGAGAGAGATAGATATATATATATAGAGAGAGAGAGATAGATATATATATAGAGAGAGAGAGAGAGATAGATATATATATATATAGAGATATATATATATAGAGATATATAGAGATAGATAGATATATCTATAGAGAGAGAGATAGATATATCTATAGAGAGAGAGATAGATATATCTATAGAGAGAGAGATAGATATATCTATAGAGAGAGAGATAGATATATCTATAGAGAGAGATAGATAGATATATCTATAGAGAGAGATAGAGATAGAGATATATATATAGAGAGATATAGAGATAGAGATATATATATAGAGAGAGATATATAGAGAGATAGATATATATATATAGAGAGAGAGAGAGATATATATATAGAGAGAGAGAGAGATAGATATATATATATATATATAGAGAGAGAGAGATAGAGATATATATATATAGAGAGAGAGAGATAGATATATATATAGATAGAGAGATAGAGATATGAGATAGAGATATATAGAGAGAGATATATAGGATAGATATATGAGATAGAGAGAGAGAGATATATAGGGATGGGGATATATATATAGAGAGAGAGATAGATATATATATATAGAGAGAGAGAGATAGATATAGATATAGAGATAGAGAGATAGAGACATATAGAGATAGAGTATGAGGATGGAGATATATATAGAGAGAGACATATAGGGATAGAGATGTGTGGGAGATAGACATATATAGAGAGATAGATAGACATATATAGAGAGATAGATAGACATATATAGAGAGATAGACAGACATATATAGAGAGACAGACAGACATATATAGAGAGAGATGGGGAGACATATATGGGATGGGGAGAGAGACAGACAGACATATAGATATATAGAGAGACAGACATATATAGAGAGACAGAGAGATATATAGAGATATAGAGATGGAGATATATGGGGACAGAGGACAGACATATATAGAGAGAGACAGACATATATATATAGAGATAGATAGACATATATATATATAGAGATAGATGGGGATATATGGGGGATAGAGATATATATGGAGATAGAGATAGATAGACATATATATATATAGAGATAGACATATATATGGAGATATAGAGAGACAGGGATATAGAGATGGGGATATATAGAGATGGGGATATATAGAGATAGATGTATGGGGATGGGGATATATATATAGATATAGAGATATATATAGAGATAGATATATAGAGAGAGATATATATAGAGATATATAGAGATATGGGGAGATAGAGATATATAGAGATAGGGATATATAGAGAGAGATATGGGAGAGAGAGAGATATAGAGATAGAGATATATAGAGATGGGATATATAGAGATAGAGATATGAGGAGATGGAGATAGAGATGGGATATATATAGAGTATATATATAGATATATGTATAGAGATGGGGATATATGGGATGGGGATATATAGGATATATAGATGGGGATGTATAGGGATATGGGGATAGGGATAGATAGGGAGAGATATATATATAGATGGGGGGATGGGGATATATATAGGGATATATGGAGATATATAGAGATGAGGGATGGGGATATAGGGATATATGGGGATAGGGATATATAGAGAGATATATATATATATAGAGATGGGGATATATATATATATAGAGATATATATATAGAGATAGAGATATATAGAGATAGAGATATGGGGATGAGGATATGTGGGATATATGGGATAGAGATAGAGATAGGGATATATGGGATAGGGATATATAGATGGGGGATATATAGAGATGGGGGATATATATAGAGATATATGGGGAGATAGAGATATATAGAGATATATAGAGATATATGGGGATATAGAGATATGTGTGGGGACAGAGATATATGGGATAGAGATATATAGAGATAGAGATATAGAGGGGAGATATATGGGGATGGGGGATATATATAGATATAGATATATATAGAGATAGATATATAGGGATATATATAGATAGATATATATATGGGATATAGATATATATATAGATAGAGATATATGGGGGAGATATAGGGATATATAGATAGAGATATATATAGATATAGATATATATATATATATATAGAGATAGGGGATATGGAGATATATAGAGATGGGGATATATATATAGAGATAGATATATATATAGATATATATATAGATGGGGATAGAGATATAGAGATATAGATAGAGATGGGATGTATGGGATAGATATATAGATATATAGATAGATATAGATAGATATATAGATAGGGATATGGGATGGGATATAGATATATATAGATATATATATATATATATATATATAGAGATATATAGATAAGTTATTAAGTAGGGGATGGAGAACAATAGAGATGGAAACATGTAGAGATATGGGAGAACCAATCAAATTGAATGTAGTGTTTTATTATAAACTGATAACTATGGATACAAAATAAACTAATCATTCTATAATGGATGACCTCAAACTTTTTTTTTTTTTTTAACCAAAGACAAGAATGAGCTGAAATGTCCTTGATACTAAAAAAAAAAAAAAAAGTTTTATGACAAAACCAATATGGAATTCAGATTAGATAAGTGTGCAAAAGTAACATTCAAGAAAGAATTACCAAAACACTGAATAGATTTATTTTATCACAAAGATAAGAAAACTGGACATAAGTGTTTTATAAATAGTAAGGATTCAGTGAAGGAAATGGCATACACAATTGAAGGAAAAAGAAAAGCAACAGCGAGTTAAATTCACAAAACAGAATATCAACCATAAACATTGTACAGTACAATAGGTTTAACAACTTTAGATTATAGCAGACAGATAAAATGGGTGTAAAAATGAGAGCTTAGAATCCATCATCCTAACGCCAATGTTGATCATTTATCTGAGCAGATCCAAAAGGAGATACAGGATTAGTTCAACTGTCTTAGAAAACAATTGGCCTTCAAATATATGTAGAAACTACAAAAGACTGGATGTTCTGTGTCAAAGAACATGAAAGAAATAATATTACATGATAAATGGAACCAACAAATTCAAAAGGGAATTTCAAATGAATTAAGAGCAAAGCAAGCCATAATCCATCTAGTGCCGCAGCAAAAGTGGAGGGAAAGGAAGAAAGGAAAAAAATGCTCTCATCCACACTCTGCCCATGCCAAACAAGCTGATGTAAACAAATCCCATGCCCATCATTGGTTGCATAGTGCAGGATTAAAACTTGGAACAAGGTTTTATTCTTACTGCATAGAATCAAATAACTGTCAAGACCAGATTTCAGAAAAATTAAAGAACAAGCGGATCAACTAGCAAGAAGATATTTGAAATTTGTGTCCCAAATATAAACAAACAAAACAGCACAGAAAATTAAAATTAGCTAAGATAACCAAGCTGTCACCTTTAAGTTAAGGACATAAAAACATTTTACAATTTTAATTTTTAGTAATGAATGTAGAGAGACATTGGGCAGACCTTGTGGCTGAGCCAGACATTGCTTCAGCATGGAATTAATCAACAGGACTTTAAAAGACAAGAGTGGAGGTGAAAATGTTTTGGGCTTATATTGTAGGCAGTAAAATTATAGGCCCCTTTAAAATTGATAGTATCAATAAATGCCTAAAATTTTAAATGGTCGAGGAACCAACAAGCTAGAATATATTTGTCTAAGACAATGCTTCTTCACATTCTGAAGAGTTAACCTTCTCCCCACAAAGACACACAGACATAAGTCAAAAATACTAAATGGAATAGCTCCAAAGCCTTACCAGATATTAATCCAATAGAAAACCTGTGGTCAATCAAAAGATTTGAGAATAGAAAAAAATTCAAAGAAAATTCTCCAAGACATCAAGATTGCTATAAATTAGCCTAAAACTATTTGAAGAAAAAAAAAAAAAAACTAATGCAGATTATAAAATGTTAAGCTAACCCTTCAAGCCATAAGGGCCCAAATACACCAGTCACAAGTGTAGTCCGAGAATTCCAGAATGCACTCACAATTGGATAGCACTGTATTTCAATGCAGAGCATTACTGCTAATCATATGATCAAACAGATTCTAAAACCATAACTTATAACTAATAGTAACAAGGTGATAAAGATGTAAAAAATTTAATAATGTACATGGGATATTACACGTTGAGGTTTCTAAGGCATTTAATGTTTGGATTTATTTATAAAGATTTGTTACACCACTTCCATAATAAAAACGCCACCCCCACCCCAATTCAATATTCTTTATAAAAGATAAGCTGAAGTCCATGGCTTATTACTCCTACAAATATCCTTAAAATTTTATGAACATCAGTTGGTGAATGCCAATTTTGTGAAAACATTAGCCTTTATAAAATCTATGCAACTTAATGTTGACCTAAGATAATTTTAACTCCATGAGGAACATTGACAATATGCCTGTTAAAGTGTTGTCCTGTTTAGCCTTATGGAAGCAACAATGTCTTTATGATGCCACCCTATTTTAAACAGGTTTTTGATGTATGTCCTGTAAACCTGAAAGTGACTTGTGTTTTATAAAGTCATTCTAGATTCTTGGACAACTTTTTTTTCAACTGAACCCAAAGCTAAACTACCAACCATTTTTCAAGAATGTTATCCGGTCTACTTTTAATTTTGACTTCACAAAATCCTATTATTTAGCATACACAAAGCACTTACCTTGGCCAGTCCAATTTGTAAGTCCTCATCATTCTTGTAAATAACTGGAGTGTTTGGTCGGCTCGTTCTGATAAAGCAAATTCCTTTTTTGTTAGCAGCAAGTTCTACAGCTCTCTCACAAGAGACAGCATCACTTGGATAGAAGACTGTAGATCCTGGAACGCTACGGAACATGGCAATATCTTCCAATGCCATTTGAGAAGGACCATCCTCACCTGGAAGAAGAATCAAAATTTGACAGAAAAGGTAAATTGGTAGAACTACAAGACTTCTGATGACACATAACTAGCAGTACCCATAAATATTTGAATTTAACAAACCAAAATTCTTAATTTAATGATTGAATAAGCTCCTGGCAAGTTCCATAAGTAACCATAGAAATTCCCTACTGCATTGTTAAATATTTGAGCTTAACTTTAAAATATTGCAACAACATTCACAAGTATGAATACAGGTCACAGAAGTAAGGGGATACAAATAAGATTAAAATTAAGTTTTTCATTCCACTCAAGCAGATATTGAAACAGAATTATCAACTTCTCTATCTTAATTTTTGATATGCTTTTTCTCATTAAAAACCAGTGTCTGATATTGGTCTTTCCTTGCAATCAAGACAGAATTGTCCCTTATTTATCCAAGGTAATGGCTCATTGTGCTAACTGAAGAACAAGCAGAATTATGAATTTTCAGGAGTTGGACAAGATATACCAAACTAAACCATCCAAAAGAGCATAAATCTGGTTTTAACTATGAAAGTTAATTAGAATCAATCAAAAATACCACAGAGGATTTCAAAACAAGGCTATATATAAGGAATATTTGGGTCAGTTATGAGGCAGCTACAGAACAAGGTCAGTTCAATGGTAAAAAGATAGCACACACTAATTAAGAGGTACCTGATCTGTTTATTTTATTGGTAGAGATAAAGAAAAGTAGAAATAATACCTCATTGTTTAGAGCAAGGTTTCTCAACTAGTACACTGAAATGTAGCCAGGTGCACCCCAAGTTATCAGAACATATATATATATATATATATATATATATATATATATATATATATATATAAAAACAAGCTCTTGTCTTCCATTTGATATTTTAAGCTAAAATTACTTAAAGATTGAGTGGATAATCCATTCCCTTTTGGCTTCAAGAGATTCTACAGTCATTATCAGCCACTCTTTAAAAAATGTTACAGCATCCAGTCCCTCAAATATGGCTTTGCTCCAATGGCTTCTATCATGACCATTACTGTTAGATAACTACATTAAGTAAAACAGCTCAGTTTTTTGGGGGGTTTTTTAAATTTGATTTTTTTCTGCTGAGATTGTGTGGTTTCATCATAAGAGTCCATGTGGTACACAGCATGACTTAATTTAGAAATTGGTAACAGGTGAGACAAAAAAAAAAAAAAAAAAGCCCTCAAAGAGCACAGGCATTAAACAATGAACTAGCATTTTTTTTTTTGCTAGTGCAGTTTTTACAGATTAACATGTGAAATCACTCCTAAATTTCGCTGGCTCTGATTTTTTTTTTTGCAGACCAAATGTATTCCAATTCTCATTGTTTTTACTTTATTTCTAAAAATTGTTCTAAATTTATTAGAGCGCTAAAAATAAATTTTCAATCCAGAAAAAAAAAAAAAAAAAAAAAAACTCAGCAAGTAAATGAGATTTTTACTATTAAATAGATGAACTATGGAAAAGGTTTATTCTCCTATATATGATTCCCCTATTATGGGCATTATAATAGTCATGATGTAACACTATTTCACAGACATCATGGAATAGCTGAAAGAAACAGAATGAAAAACCTGCTTTGTTCTCAGAATTTTATGATGCCAAGTTGTACACAAAACAGCATGTGTGTGTATATATATATATATATATATATATATATATATATATATATATATGCCTTGTAATATTTCCCCAAATGGAATACATCAAATCTGCCCTTCATCACTATCTCAACATCAGTCATATTACCCAATGAAAGGGAGATAATCCGTTTTGTATCACCTTACACAACATGCATGAAACCCAATCCTCATCCCATTGTATCCAGGTTGGAACTAAATTTAAAAAGTTAATGATGGAAATTTAATTTTGATTTATGGTTTATCTTGCTATCAAATTTCGTTCACTAGAAGGTGATTAGTGATAAACAATGGCAAAGATGTTTTTCTGTGCTGGATAACCAACTTTGGTGCTCCTAAAATATCAAACAATGATAGCAAATTTAACATGTGCCAGTTGATGCATTCGGTATAAAAGTAATGACCATGGCAGTTAAAAGCTGCTTGAGTAATCGCATATGTGAATGACCGATTGCTGAAATTTGTGACTAAGATTCTTTCTGATGCTTTATAAAATCTTGATGTCGGATGGTATCTAACCATTAAATTGTCAAATTTTTCAGGATCCTCACCAAACCAATTATTTTTTGGCATCTATTTCAGACGAGGTATTAACTATTTACACAATTTACATCTTCCAGATTGTTGTCCTCATCTTTATTGCCATATTCACAATATTTCAGCTATTGTACCCTCAGTCCTTCAGGTAATATACACTGAGATTTCAAACCAAACACTTAGTCCATGAGAGTATAGTTCTAATACCATGCCTTTTCTGGATATCTCAGTTTCAGTTAATTCCCTTTAGTAGCTCAACTCTCAGGTCCCCAACCCTACTTTATAGTAATTTACATGCTAAAAGCTCAATATCTGTATTATATATTGTCAACTAGGCAATATCACTTTTCAGGTTTAATCTATATATTGATTATAAAAAAGTATATTTCTATTAACTGTCCTTCATTAGTTTTTATTATAGGATTGTTTTGATTTTCATATCAAAAATAGTTGTTTAGGAGTATTGTCTTATATAGTGCAGAAAAGTGTTTCAAATTTTATTTTATTTGGCCTTCAACAAGTTGGCATCTATTTGTAAAACTTTCCTTAAGTATAACAAACCTGCCCTCACACCTGACCAATTCTGTCTAAGTCATACTTTGAACAGATATTTAACATCCACAACCCCTTCAACATTTCATAAATAGTAAACATTAATCCCATTAAAAAAAAAAACAAAAAAAAAAACTAATTTTTCTAAGGTAAACGTAAGTTTATATATCTAGTATCCATAATTATTTTCTTTTTTAACAGAAGTTAGTGTGGAAACTCGACAAACTACATTCTACCAAAATGGACAAGAGAAACATACAAGATATTACGAGTAAATACTAATTTTACAGAGGATAGCAAATTAATTTTTATGGAGTACTTCAATGACTTAACTGATATATGCACTTCTCATGTCAGACACAAATTAGCCAGATTGCCACTTAAGCATCTGCAAAATTGTAAAGACAAAGAGCAGACAAAATACATACACATTTGAGTGGAGCATAATCGACACCTTTTTATTAGTCTTTGTATAAAAAAATAAAGTAATAGTTGAACTTTGAATTGCAAGTACTAGAATAAAAACTTTTCATGACTAAAAAAGGTTCATTTAGGTTTATCAACATGTCTACAGTTCTTTGCTTATTAAAATCTAACTTATCACACAAAGCTCAACAAAATAGGCAAAAGAACTCACCAATAGAAATCCCAGCATGAGAGCCACAGAAGTTGGCATTTGTTTGAGAAATGGCCCCCATTCGAATTTGATCAAAAGCTCTGCTAAGGAAACAGGCAAATGTACTGATAAATGGTACTGTGCGATTACGGCAAGCACAGCCAATACCAACACCCACCAAGTTTTGTTCAGCAATGTAACACTCAATGAAGCGATCAGGGAAAGCAGTCTGAAATACAAGTTGGTTTAAAGAGAAAACATTTAGCAAAGACAAGTTAACGTTTAATGTCTCATGAGAGTTTCTTTGCATTTTCAATTTAACATAAAACAGAAGACACTAATACTCATGGTCCATTCAAGTTTTTGTTAAAAAAAAAAAAAAAAAAGTTTGTTTTATTTATTAAACCAGTATTAGTTTACAATTAAATACTAATGGTTGGTTTCATTCACCAGTATAATGATAAAGATAAAATAAAAAAATTTTAAAAATAAAACAGAACAAACCTGGAAAGTCTTGGAAAAAGTAGAGTTTTTGGTGTCCCCATCCATGGCAACAACATGTTTATTGTTTTTGCCTATCTTAGCTAAAGCTGTACCATAAGCTAGTCGGGTGGCAACCTGCAAAAAAAATAAGTATTATGCACAAACTATCAAAAACAATCTTTTTTATTTAATAAATCAAATCAAGGCCAACCTTAGTTGTAATCAGAATCATTGTAAACTATGATCCTTTCATTATCTTCACCAGGGCTACATATGGCTTTAAGTTCAGAGTTGTCTTTCTCCTAGACTGGTTGCCAGCCACGGCTGAAGAATCCAAACTGCCCTACTATTTACCCCTAACCAAGTATATTAGCAGATAACTTGACTAGAATTCAAACTGCTCTTCAATTTCTCATTCCAAGCTGCTATCCATTATACTCCCAGTACATCTGATTTAATAAGGACAATTCTAAACATCCACGCCTGCTTTTCTACTTACTATCAAGTATGTGAAAATACTAAGACATTTATCAAAAGCTAAATTATTGCCACGGATCCTATCTACACTTACCATTCCGAGAGAAAAAAAAAAAAAAGAAAAAGAGAATTTGGTCAAGCCCAAATTCAAAATAATTGTCAAATCCAGAATTTAGCCATGGTCAACTCAATAAAGGTTAATACACAACCCAAAAGAAATATAAAGACAGAAACATCAAGACCATTTTCATCATTTTTAAATCATTAAGTTTATCAACAGATAAGACTTTACTAAAACTTTACTAAAACTTTACTAAAACTTTTGTATTAAAACCATTCCTAAATTAAAAGAGAACATTTCTATTAGTTTTACTACTATTAATTTATCACAAATGCCAGTAGAATCATTCCACACTACAAGACAGGTTGTAGTTCTGGGCCCTATGGAACTCAATTGGGCTTGCACAATTATAAAGTGTTAAGGGTCATATTGATTGCAGAAAATTAGCTTCAGGCCACAAGAGTAAATTTTTAAAGTAAATTAACTGATAGTTCTTTTTCTCCAGAGAGCCAAAAGGATTAGATACAAAAACTGTGAAATATTGATTGAAAAAAGCCAGGATTCAGAACAGAGTTTTCTGTATAGGGTCAGTTGCCAAATTTATTCTGAACACAAAAATTAATTTGTGAACCACACTTTTGTGACTGCTCTAGATCAAACCAGACTATCCAACATGATCTTTGATCTGCTAGAATTTCCCAATGTACCCTTGCTTCTTGAACATAGTTTTGTTAATATCTGATTCAACCTGATGCTTCTATTTATCTGACCCTTTCTTTTAACTTGTTCAACTTTATTGTACCTTTTGAGCTTTTGTCTACTGGTCACAGGATCCTTGAGTAATAAAAATATATAAACATTGATGTTACACTGAGATTATGATAGCTTTGTCATGCCTCAAGTGAGTTTAAGAATAAACAAAGTTGATTTGATATGGACCAAGTTCCCAGTCTTGGTCCACATCAGACAGACTTTAAAGCAAAGTAAAGTTTAAAAAATGGGAGGGGGGGGTAAAAAAGGCCCCAAATTTTATCACTGAAATCTTCATTCACATGATTATGTTGCTTAATATTTTTCATTTTATTCTTGTAATAATGAAAAACAATAAAAAATAAATCAATTTGCCCCTATCAAAAATACATGCATAAATAAATTAAATATTTTAAAAGTATTATCATATTACTCTTAATTTTAATTAAAAAAATTTTAATTAAAAAATTTTATTAAAAAGACTTCCAATTTAGATTAGATTGATGCATAAATTGGAGTTTGTGATTTCAAAGTGATTCATTTGGAATAAACAGATTTTTAACTACATTCCATTTTGAAGTATGAATGTTGTCCTATCAATTTATGCTTTTGTCTTCACTTTATATTTTAGATAATCAAAAGACTAGCAAAGCTGAAAAGGGGGACTGTATAATATTGTAATTTATTTTTTATTAAAGTTTTTATGAAATATATATATATATATATATATATATATATCAAAGAAAAGCTAGTAAATAGTAAAACATTGCTGAAAGTTATAATGAACAGAAAGTAGTAGAGAGCCAGTATCATCAACAATTTGGACTCGCTGAAGAATTATGTATCAAACAAAAAAATTTCATTGAAAATTGGATGAAACCTCTGGAAATGCATAAAATCCAATCACACAAACACACATTGAGAATTATAGATATAGTTACTGTATGCTACAGATGTCTTTCTGCAATTTACAACCACCAACTGGAGAATATTGAAACAGACTCTTGCAAGGAGTAAGAATTGTAGAACTAAATACTGAACAGATCTATCCAATTGAAAGAAAAAAAAGTTGTGCAACAAAGAACCCTTTTTTTTAACACATTGTGAAAAGGAAAAATGGATTCCATCCAACTGCATTCTACAGTGGATGGGCCAAAGAGAAGCAGCAAAACACTTATCCAAACCCAAGCTGTTATCAAAAAATTATGCTTTTTTTTGTGGTTGGCAGGCAAAATCATTCACTATGTCAAATGCTGAAGTTAAGACAGTGAAAGATTTTAAATTACCACAATATTTTATAATACCATTGTTTACTTTTAAGTTACTCACAATTTGACATTAAAGTTTTTAGACCTTTTTAAACAAAAATTATAAACAAATTTATTTTTACTTTATATATAAATATTGTATATTTTCCATATGAAAAACTATCTGTAAAAATTTTATTTTCCATGTTTACAACTACATTATGCATAAAATGTTTAAACAAACTAATATATACAACATGAAGTGTACTGCTGTTAATTACTTTTTCTGTTTTTTTCTAATGGTGAAATATTATTTCTGTTAATTCTCAGTAATGAAAGTGTTCAGCAAGCTCTCTTCTTGATCCTTGGATGAGAGCATCCCAAGTCACTGAAACTATTACAAGATATGCCAGTTTACAACATACCTTTTGTTAATTTCCACAAACCTGCATTCCAATACAATTGCAATATCGATTATGTAAATCATCAAAAGGTGTCCCTTGGACCAATAGATATCAAGTGCCATTACTGCAATGCCATAAGATTCAAGGGTGAATCTGATAATATAAACCAGGGTGCATATGGACCCCAGTCGAGAAACACCGATTTAGAAAGAAGTTTATCCAAACAAAATTAAGTCATCAAGCAGTTTCTGCTTTGTATTAATGCACTTGGGAAAGACATGAAGCATTTCTTCTCCCCACACCTCAATTATTCCAGTTTTGCAAATAAGAGAAAGCATGACTTTGGAAAATTAAAACGTTTATTAAAAAAATTGGAAAATGAAAGATTTATCTGATATCACTCAAGAGTAACAACAGTTTGGGTTACATAAAGTAGATTGATCTCTAGCATTAATTGGTAACTAATTGATAAGGATTCAAAAATCATGGATAAGCTAAGGGTAACAACTATACTATCTATCTATAGATCTACCTATTATTAATAAATAAAAAAATGACTGGGAGAGCCATGATTAGTGACATGTAAGATTTCAGAATTAATATTTTGTAGCTTAAAAACTATACAACTTTACTATACAATTTACTCTTTTCTTAAAGTGTACTAGAATTTGTAAATAACCAATACACAAAAAAAAAAAAAAAATAAAATAAAAAATAAAATAAAAATAAAATACCTGCTGTCCCATCTCATAAGATGGCGGTTCAGAAAGTTTGATATTTGAAATATCATTCTCAGGAACTTCTGCATCAGGAGCTTTGATATTCAAAGAATATGGTTCTGGGTGGCTAAGTAAAGCATTCAAAGCTTTCAGAGCAGGTTCACTTTGCTTAGCCATTGGCTTACCATGCCAATTATCCAAATCCTCAACTCCTAAAATTGTAAAAAAATTTGAGCAAGTCAAATATCAAAATCAGATGTCTGGCTTTTTTTTTTTTTTTGGCTCTTAAAAAAAAAAAAAAAAGGAAAAAAAAAAAAGAAAAAAGAAAGTCAAAATTTATGAACTGCAAGAAGTTGAAGTGTACCTTTAAGACATTAAAGACAAAAACCAACTTTGACACAAAGCAATGCTCAGAGCATCCTGTGAACAAATTCTCGAGTAATGGCCTTTAAAAGTAGCCTTCAATAACAAGCATTAAACTATATTTATCAGATAAGATCAAGTTGACAGCGAGATAACACTTGATCACGCTTAGGATGCTTTGCGACACTGCCATACTACTCTACTTGACAAAGACATCCTTCCACCATTCTGTGGTGAAATATTAGACCAGTAAATTAAAAGCTGATAGGTCAAAAGGCAAAAGAGTTTGTTAATGACAGGTTAAAGAACAAGCATTTAATAGTTTGTCTGAAATTCTGGAATGAGGAGTTCTTTACATTCTAACAATTGTCCTCATCGTCATTATCCCAACTATTGTGTCGTCTGTTTTCAGGTGTTTGTCAATCCAGGCAAACTTGAAGTAATCATTGTCTATGAAAATAAAAAGTTAAGTTCGAAATTTTGAAAAAAATCCCCCAGATCCACACACTGAAAGCCAGAAAGCACAATGTCCAAAACATTATGATAAAGATGAGGATGTAAGTGAATAAAAATAAGCATTTAAAATTTTACAATACCATGAGATAATATCAAGAGTAAGAGTAACATTTAGCACTCTGCATCATTTATAAATATTACTTCCCCTTTTACAGGAATCTCAAAATATAGCGTTTTATATATTTGAAATTGCAGTAGCCTGGTTCTCAATTTCAGTTTAGATTATTTTATAGATGGATATGACAACCAAAAAATTAAAGTTAAATTTGCATTGGCAAGACTAACATTTTGCTTGTCAAAAATAGTCAACTACAGAGTACTAATGGTAAAAATTTTTTTAGAACTGTAAGTAGCTTTTATCTACCTGGAATGTATTTTCCCTTTAAGGTCTTGGCCAAAATACACGTGGGCTTGTTTTTCATATTAGCAGCTTGATGGAATGCTTTGCACAAGGACTCAACATTATGGCCATCTACAACACATGCATTCCACCTGAAAAAATATTTAATGTTTATTAAGAACTTAATCATGCATAAAATTGAATACCTATAATTTATCTTATCAGGGAGTCAATATTTTCTTTTCCCCTTCCCCAAAGATATGTTTACTGTGAGGGGTAATATCTAAATCAATTGTAAGATCAAATTTGTTTACAAATACTGCATGCCATTTTAAATATTTCAACTTGTTATATACATTACAGTTGTAACTATAATGTAATGTTAATCCAGTTTATAGAAATAGGTTTTTAGTCTGTAAATGTCAAAGTGTTTTGTGTTCTTGCTTGGAACTGATGACCTATAAGCACGCAAGGTAAAAGCCTTTCATATGTCATTAAATTTTTTTCTGACTTTTTTTAAGCAATTTATGATTTTGACTAGTACTAAAGTTGTTTCAAGTTTTTATGCTTACATCTAATTGAAAATCATTAAGGTAACTAAACTAGTAGAATTCTTGAATACAGTATAAGATAATATGCACTAACTTTAATGTATACATATTTTCTTATAAAAGTTGTAGGTGTGTGCGCGTGTGTGTTGTGTGTGTGTTTTGTGCGTGTACATACTGTGTTTTGTGCATGCATGTGTGTACTTGATCAGCATTGTTACATATTGAGCACTTTTTACTTTATTTCAGATGTATTTGAGAAACATGGTAGTTGGTAATTTTAATCGGACTCCAATTAAAATAAGAGATTATCAAATAAGCATTTAGTTTTTTCAAGATATTTACCCAAATGCTTCAACACGTTTCCTGTAAGTTTCCATATCATGTTGCAGTGGGGTAGGATCACTTTGTCCAAGCCTGTTGATGTCAAAGATGGCCACTAGATTGTCCAATTTGTAGAAACTGGCAAAAGCCATGGCTTCCCAGATTGACCCCTCAGCACTCTCACCATCACCAACTAAGCAATAAGTACGATAGCTGAAAAGAAAAAAAAGCATTTCAATGATTTGAATATTTCCAGAGTTTGTATAAATTGATTAACATTAATCCTGACTAGCATAGGATTTTGTAATTTTTTTTCTAATCCATAAATGCTTTATTAAATTCAAATGATTTGAACAAAAGTCAAATGCTAAAAGCAAACTTAATTGCACATTAAATTACAATTTGTTATTGTAGTTTTTACTATTTCTTTTAGGAAAAAAAAAAAAAAAAAAAAAAAAAAAGGGCAAAAGGTTTTAATTAAAAAAATGTGTTCCAAATGCATGAGGAATATACATTTTAGAAAGCTTTTCCAGTATTTTGCTAATGATTTGGTTGAAAACTTTTTACAAGGAGAATGCCATGGATAAAAAAAAATATCTCTACAAAGATTTCGCAATATGAATCAACAAGGTTAACAAACCCAGGTCATTTTGATATCCAGAAAGATTTTTGTTAAATGTAGTCAGGTATTGAATTAAGTTGATGCCTGAAAGAGTAAAACTTCAAAATCTGTATATCTAAGTATTTTTTTTATCTTTACGGCTCAGATGACAGGTCACTTCCAGATCAAATCCCCATTTCCAGTATACCAAGTGTAAGAAAGTGAAAAAAAAAAAAAAAAAAAAAAAAGTTGCCTCCTTAAACACATCACATCTTTAGGTGAAGTGTCATCTTTCTTCCAAATATTCATTTACCTTCTTCCCAATTCATATCACATTTCTCAATTTAACATTGACTATAACACTTTACTTGCACTGGTTGAATTTTTTTTTTTAAGCACCACCAAAGTGAATTTGAAAATGAAACCAAGTCAATAGCTACTTACGAAGCCTTGTCAAAATATTTTCCTGTATAAGCCATACCAGCAGCAATACTTAAACCCTGGCCAAGGGAACCAGTTCCAACATCCACAAAGTTAAGACGCTGAATAAGATAAACAGAAAATATAAACATTTATATTTTCGTATTATGAAAATAATCTTGACAGAATATGATTGGAAAGTTAAATGACAAGTTTCATTTTCCCCTTTATTTACTTAAAGGGAATAAAAAAAAAAAAAAAAAAAGTTAAAATCTTCAACACATTCATAGAGAGATACACAAGACAGTGTAAAGCCTTACAGGTGTAGGATGGCCTTCAAGATCACTCGTGATCTTACGCAAATTCAAAAGATCATCAACGGAAAAGAGACCAGCTTCTGCCCACACAGCATAAAGGATAGGAGCAGCATGACCCTGAAAGAATATTAATTCCAGTTAGACATGAGGTAAAACAGTATTGATCTCTGATCAAGAAATAAATCTTTCTCCCAAGAGGAAAAAAAAAAAAAAAAAAAAAAAAATTAGTTTTGGTATTTATCTCACCTTTGACAAGACAAATCTGTCATTTGATGGACATCGTGGGTAGCTGACTTTGTATTTCATTGTGTGGAAGAACAGCACAGACATGATTTCAGCTGCTGAACTGCATGATGTTGGATGTCTAAAAAGGAAAAAAAAAAAAAAAAATAGATTAAAAGCATTTTCAAAAATCTAATCAGTATTTTGAAATAAGATTTGCAAGAGATTAACAAAAACAAAAAACATTTTTGCAGAGTTGTGACACACAGACGAGGAATGTTTGATATCTTAATCTCAAATGTTTGTTTTATAGACTGTGGATAGGATTTTTTGAATTGGCACCAACTTTAAAGACAAAGAACAAGATAAAAGAAAGCAAATGAGATCAAGTGACAAACTGGACATTAGTTCTACTTTCTAGTCTATACTAACAGTCCTGCTTCGAACTGGGAGCCAACAATCTTGGTCCATCCTCAGGCATAAACTTGTCAATTACAGTTCAGATTATCAGCCACATGCTGCAGAAGAGTAGAAGATGGTAGCAGAGAAGAGCCAAGCTGTTGGACTGACATACAAGTTATCCCAAGTGTCACCTACATACTCAACAAAACAAACTATGGATTTTAAAAGGTTGCATCTTTGTATTTTAGGTGTGTGCATGTTCACATATGATAAACAAAGAAGTATACAAAAAAACTCCCGCTTCTGCTCTTGTTCTTTTTGCGGCAACTGTAATGAAACAAAGTTCGCAATATCTTTTGGGTATGACCATTTTCCGTTTTTTTTTTTTGTTTTGTTCAGAAGCAAGTTAGAGCAAGTAAGGGTAACAATGGTTGAGCTAAGTCAGCTTTGCACAGATTTGGAATAGCCAAATCATTTTATGAGTAGGGCTGCAAGGCACATCCAAACAATATTGTCAGAAAACAGAAAGAAAGATTCTGTCCTTGGGGTCATAAAATTGTGCAGTTGACCAAAAATGTGTTTATTAATTGCATTATGGGTAAATGAATCCCTTATTTTGTTTCATTTTCCCCACAAAGGGAAGAAGACCTGAATAAAAATACCTATTTTACAATATGGGAAACTGGGTTCAAATTATTTCTCAATGTGGCTTCATTTTTCATTGCCATTGCTTTGTGAACATGCAGCAGGCCCTTTCCCAGCTTTTGGTGAACACTGGCACAAAGAATCAAGAGGCAATGTGGAGTCATCATTGGCCAGTTGATGAAAAGCTGGACTAGAGTCTTGTATGTTTAGAGTTAAAATTTATAAATATAAAAACACATTTCCATTACCATAATATTGCAGGTTTAGTTGATTTTAGAAAAACAACTTTTTGCATAGGACACCAAGCGTGTCAAATTCACTAATCAATGATTTACCAGACTAACCTAAGTTATCTCATACCAAGATACCAACCATAATACTGGACATTTATAAATCAACAATCAATGCAACTGTCTCAGGAATCCACATTTGTGAACAAATTGAAAATTTTCTTTACTCAAATGCTCAGGCCACTAGATGTTGAATTACCATTTAAAAAGTAGGTGTCTATTCAAATGTGTAGATACTAATAAGAAATAATGTTTAATTACAAATAAAATTCATTAATTCTTCAAATTGGAGTATGCTTTGTACAATCCTGTAAATCAAGATTAAAAATATTAAATATACTTAGAATGGTGCATTATTATACCAATATCAAAGTTTGGTGCACAAATACTGAATTTATATTTCCAATATTAGGTATTGTAATTATTTACATTGTTCTGACCATTGTCTTCATCTTTGCCATATTCACAACATTTTGGCAGCCTTCTTGAGGGGGATTGGAATTTCACATGGGTAGATTGTTCTAGTTCCATGTGCTGTGCCTCTTCTATATGCCTCAGTATCAGTTATCTCCCTTTAACTCAACTTTCCATGTTTTTGTTCACCTCTGCTGTAGCTAGGTATTGAACTGAACTCTTTGGGCCAAGTTACTAGATTCAACCAACACTTATGCACTGGGCCAAATGTTCTTGAGGACACCAAGAAGGCCGGAGTATACAACAGCCAAAATAAATATGGCAAAAAAGATAAGTCCGAACAATGTAAATAGTGCATATAAATACTGAATTAGGCAAATATTCAAGTACTGGGTTGGCCAGATTTTGAAAACTATAAATGAACATTTTTCAATAAAGATCTTTCACGTGAAATACAAAATGTCCAAATAGTGTCAAGAACATAAATACACTTGAACAAATTTTAGAAATTGTAATACAAGCAGCCACCAAAGTTTAAGATATACTAAAGAGGATAAAAACCATTTGTCCAACAATACTTTCCCCCCAAGATGATTTTCATGTTAATAGTTATAGTTGCTGCTGCTGTTTGTACTTATGAAAAAAAAAAAAAAAAAAAAAAAACACACAAACATACATACATTCATCTCAACAAGGAACTAAGCAATTAAATAAGACTCACAATTCTGAAAGCTGTCATTAAAAATAAACTTTGGGAAGTACTGGCTTGATGTCCAGCCAAATAATAGCAGAGGGAGAGAGGACAAGGTAAATGCAAATCTTTTATGCAACAACAAAAGAATTCAAAAATAGCTTTCATATCAACCTATATTACTACAAATCAAATTTGCATCATTGGCCTTTATTTCATAGTACTGACAAAGCTGGAGTTATGTAAAGCAGAAGTTTTTACATACCACACAAGTATTACAAACATTTTAATTTTCTACAAGAACAAGAGACAAACATTTAAAATCAATTATACGGCCTTTTTAAAAAAAAATTTAAAAATCACAAGCACTGGACTTCTAATAGCTTAACATTTCCAAAATTAATGAGACCTGAACTAAGACCAAAGTAAATTAAGTTTTCTTCCGGTCAACTTTGAAGTTAAAAGAATGTCAATCATTTCTATATAATTCTCTCTCATTATATATATATATATAAATAAATAAAACTTCTCATACTCAGTAGCCCTTTGTCTTGGTTGGAATGAAATGATTATTAAGTTTAAAAAAAAAAAAAAAATAATGATCAGTCAAACAGTTATGTGCCATGCGTGATACATGCTTAAGTGATCATGTATCTTTCGATACATGAATGATGAGGCAGATCTCCTCCCCACCCGACAGTAAGTTGCCATTTCTCTCTGCAGTAGACCAGTTGCCATCCAAGGCTATAGAATCTAATCTGTCCAGCTATTTAACCATAGCTGGGGGTTATACTTTTCCCAGGGGTATTATCACATAAGTGAATGTAATGGATTTGATTGGAATTTGAAATCTGCACCCCAATTCCTCAATCTGAGCCACTATCTATTACTCCAGCATAGTAATCTCAGTTGGCCTACAAACATTCAAAGACAATATGGAATCCTGTTCTTAAGACTTCAAGTGACAGGCTACATGATTACATGGTTTACAAAATGGATAAGCAAAATAAAACTTCAAATCATCCTCTTTCGTTTTGTATTCGTTTAGCAAGGTGGATGTTCCTCTCAGACAGCTTCTTCTCCAGAACTGTCACTTTGTGGAACTGACTCCCAAGAGGATATTTTCCTGACTACTACAATTTTAATCACTTCAAGTGTAGGATCAACTATTATCTACTCTCACAATATGCACCTCTTCCTCCTTTTTACACTTACAGTGTCATTCAATAAACCTCTACCCCGAGCGGCTCTTGGGCCTTGTATTGGGTGAACAATAGTAAAATCAGAAAAAAAATAAACTGTAGTTTAACAAGCTATTCCCTGTACCTATTGTACAAATATTTTCATAATTGTTCTGATGCATTTCCCTTGGTACTACAACTTTATGAATTTAAGTGTAGTACTAGATTGGCAGGCAGGACTCTTCACTTTTGAAATTGGTAAAATATAACTAAGTTCTATTCTAATCATTTCTTTACCAACACATGGAACTCTTCCAGCTTCTTGCTTTCCTGTCAATTACAATCTACAAAAATTTAAATGTAATATTCAACTGTCTCCCTGAATCCTTTTTTTATATTGCCCTTTCTCTTTTAAAACCTTGTTTGGGACAAAATCTAAATTTAGAGGAAATGATAGTTGTGCACAATTTTCCAAGACTACATCGATTCAAACAGCTTTTTGAAAGGTTAAACCTAAAGAAAGCTTTAAAAAAAAAAAATTAAAGAGATTCTATATCAATCCATTCATCTTGGCAGAGGTTGGCATCATTTGCAGCTGAGTTATAATAATGGAAATTCCCATTATCTGCAGTTAATGGATTATGGTTCAGACTTTGAAGTTGGAACAAGCTGACACTTGCACCTGCCAAAGAATGACAAGTAGAGATCCATAAATTTCAGTTCATTACTATGAGTACACATACTTATTCCTTCGCAACCAGAGTCAATAGCAATGTCTTCTTAGATGAAATACAAGTCCAAAGAGTGAAAAATCTTTAGCTAAAATCTACCATATTTTAAAGAATGGGGGGGGGGGCTTGAAAAAGAATTTAGGTGGTATAGTGATTATTGGTACAGAAAATGGAATCTGTAGGCTAATTACAAATCCCAGACAAGAGTCCCTCTGCAAGAAAAGCTTAAATTCATCTCAACTACCCAATTATGGATAAAATAGAACAGACTTTTGCCTTGATATGACAACCAGTGTAGAAAAATGAATTTAAAGATTATGGAAAAGGCATTGGGAAAACTATTTCCAAGAGCAATCCTTGACAATTCATAATATTCATATATTAAAATAAATTGTAGAGAGCAAGGATATTTGACCGAGTTGCTTTAAAGAAGAAAAAAATTGCAACAATTATCTTGACATCACAAGATTGTCAAATTACTATCATTTATATCTTCAATACACTCTCAAAGTAAAGCATCAGAAGTCAAAAGAATTTCAGATATTAAAAAAAAAAAAAAAAATTCAACAAAGCCTGATCAGAAATAGAAAATATACACAAAATAAAACTAAAGTAGTCTAGTTAATGTGTACCTCAATTTTAATGAGGAAAAATTATTCTGCCATTATCCAAGAGTAAATTTATCTAGTTTAACTATTTGAATAAAACATACTGGAACAAGTTTTCTGCAATTACACAATCATTAATCCTAAACAGAATCTGGGTTTGGGGTTTATGTAAGTCAATAA